TTTTTTTTTACCAGAAATAAGCGCAATGTTCCAACTCAGAAACCATTTTTTTCTCATTTAGTGTCTGTCTTGCTGTTGATTTTTGTCTTCGCTCTACACCTGTTGCTAAGGAATTTGCAGAGTTCACCATACATGGCACCAAACTCAGCTGTGTACAACTACTTTCTCTTTCTCATATCAATGGTTAAAAATAGATTTGAGTGAATGAAACCTGTACATTTTAGCAGCGACCATCTTTCTTTGAATGTTGTGAATTGATGCTACAGAATCATGAATAAAGAACTGTACCAGATAACAGAAGCCACATCACTTGAGGACTTTCATAAGCAGCAACAACTAAAATAGATAGCACATATAGCTCAAAGAGAAAATAGTGACATAATGAAAATGTTGATGTTCTACACTACATCAAACAAAAGGTTAGGTAGGAAAGCCTTGTCGAGAGAGACAAAATTTTATCTCCCCTTGACCATAACAAAAATTAGCAATAAATATTAATAAATATTCACAAGCATCAAAATAGTCACTTGATCTGATGAGACATCATTAGGCAGGGAAATTCAATCTTTCTCTTTTTGCTCCTTGAAGTTACAGAAACAGGATGCAAAATTTCAGGTTCTTAACAACCACAACAAATAGTACTGCCTTTATATTCTTTTTTGTACCCAGTTTTTAGCAAGTACATATATACAAACTGTGTATTAATAATTTCCAATATATATATATATATATATATATATATATGAAGAAAAATATACGGAAAAAACAAACTAAAATCCTAATATGCAATTATGCTGTTTTAATGTTAATATAATGTCAACGTTGGATGTTTCGGTCTAATAGACCATCTTCAGGACATATTCATAAAACATAATTAACATTAGACCATATTCAATTCAACATGAAAAAGACGATGAACATAAGAGCACATTGAATTGAATATGGTCTAATGTTAATTATGTTTTATGAATATGTCCTGAAGATGGTCTATTAGACCGAAATGTCCGACGTTAACATTAATTTAACATTAAAACAGCATAATTGCATATTAGGATTTTTGTTTGTTTTTTGCGTATATTTTTCTTCACACTGTCGGATCTATATCCATATATTTGCTTATATATATATATATATATATATATATATATATATATATATATATATATATGAGTAATTTTTTTATGAAGACTTTTGTGTTTTGTTTGAACTTTTGGTGTATTTATATTGTTCATACACCTCAAATTAAGTCTATGCTATATATACTCACACAAATATATTTGGTGACCACGACAAAAAATACATTTTGATAACCTGACACAAAAGAGAAAAGACAAATCCATAACAACATATTTGTTGAATTCCTATATATATATATATATATATATATATATATAATACACATAATACAAAAAAAATAAATAAAATGGAGCAAGAGCAATATGAGCTGACTGTCCTACAAATAACAATAAAGACACCTGGATTTATGCAAACTAATATTACCACTTGGTTTGCAATTATTGAATCTCAATTGTATCTGAGAAATGTAACTTTGCAAATTACCAAATTTTATAATGTTTTTGTGTCTCTACCTCTGGAAGTAGTGGTGAAAATAATGAGCAACATTTTGGATACCCAAAATTATAATGAGTTAAAAAAGACTTTAATTGAAACCCATGAACAAAGCCAGGACTGCTAGATAAATTAATGTCTACCTCAATTATTACAGGTCAACGATCAATTTACCTTCAGGAATTGTTGATTGCAAAAAGACTAGATATAGGCAATGACATAGTTTTATACAAATTTTTATGAGCATTATCATCTTCCACCACCCCCATGTTAGCAACACAAAAGATTTAAACCCAACCAGGCTTGGATGATTGGCAGACAAATTAATACCTTTAATACAAGGCACTGCTAAAATAAGCATGTATAACCAAATTTATATGAAAGAAGTACCTACTAAAACCTTGGCAATACCTTATGGTCTCAAACCTTTCTAAAAGAGACAATTACAAAAAATATGTAGAGCACACATTTATTATACGAATACAGTGTGTTCATGTAAATCCTGGTGCAAATGGCCAAACAAGAAAAGAGACTTGACATAACAACTAAGTTTGTGCTCAACTTCAGCGCCAAATGAAGTGGGGAAACTAACTGGGTGGATGACGAATGCCAAGTCTACCATTAATACAGATACCAGCAATATTGGGGACAAAAAAGTTTTCATCCATAATAGATATCAATGTCAGCTTATCTATCATTCTACTGCAATAATTTATCAACAGAGCCCAAACTAACGAGGCTACAGGCTCAGACATGCTGCTATGGGCAAATTAAAGCTGAGATATGTCTATCGACCATTCGTAGTAGTGGACATTCAACACCCCCTACTAGGATTTGACTTCCTAAACAATTTGGTTTATTGATAGATTGCCAACAGAGAATGATCAATGATCCTGCAACATCGTGTTCAAAGAAACTACAAACATTCAACAACTATCAGCTTAATCATGAATAATATGCCTGATTTCATTAGAGGCTTTATAAAAATATCCCCCACATACCAACCCAGCAAACACATATGCAGGAGTATATCATAGAATTGATACAGGCAGTCATGCTTCTACTTTTATCAAGGCAAGATGTTTAACAGAAGAGAAAACCCAGGCAGTAAAGAGAGAATTTTTTAAATTACAGAGTGTGTCATTACACCTTTTGATAGTGAATGGGCTACTCCCCAGGGGTGTGGGGGTAGCCCATTTGCTATACATACATGCCATTTGGACTAAAGAATGCAGCATCCATTTTTCAATGCCATTTGGATTAAAGAGTGCAGCATTCATTTTTCAAAGATACATGGATGAGATTTTTCAGTATGTTGACTGTGTATTTACATACATTGATGATATTCTTATTTTCTGTGATGATTCTTCAGCACACATAAAAGACATTGAAACTGTTATAAAAATCCTACATGACAATAATCTAAAAATTTCAATAACAAAATTAACATTTGATGTGACTTTAGTCGATTTTGGGGGTTATAATATTAGCTCTGAAGGTATTAGACCTACACAAAATACTGTTCGTGCATTACAGAATTTTCCCCCTTCTAAGGACAGTAAGGATTTTTGTTGTTTCTTAGGCATGTTAAATTTTTATAGAAAACTAGCAGTAGAGCCTGGCGTTGCCCGGGGATGTAACAGTAAGAGATAGATCAAGTATCGACCATCATAAAGACTGAAAAATAAAATTGACAAAGATTATTGTTTAAGGTTGACGGACACACATGTCTTAATTAGGATTTTTTTTTACGAATTGGTCAAACAAAAACATTGTTTTCAATTGTTATGAGTCTACCGATTGAATAGAATTTTATTATAAACAATTGTCTTGTAAATGGAATTTTTAAAGCATTCTGAATGTAAAAATAAAGAAAAAAGTGTGCAAGACAATAAGAAACACTACCTGCCAAAAAAAAAAGGTGAAGTTTTGTTGAGATCGGTTGAAAAATGTAAGAAATCCGATCCCATATATAAATGAACACACACACACACAAACAACCTGGGTTTTATAAGTATAACTCGGTATGAGTTGTCCCCCTTTCATTCTCGCGATGCCTCTTAATCGTGTTTTCAAATTGATTTTGTGCAAAAACAATTGTGTTTTTCCAATTTTTGGTGCTGTCAGAACCACCGCACGGTAATTTTACGTAGTCCTGTGAAGTTTTGTTGAAATCGGTTGAAAAATGTAGGAAATCCAATCCAATATATAAACGTACACACACACACACACACACACACACACACAATCTGCGTTTTATAATAAGTAAGATAAGATAAGATAAGATTAATGTTGAACTTTGCAGATATAGACATGCAATTAACATAATAAAATACTTGTATTTATATGTTATGAAATTAAAGACTGGGTACTAAAAGCAATATAAGTGTATTACTTATTTGGTTATTAAGAGCCTGAAATTGTGCATCTTGTTTCTGTAACTTCAAGGAGCAAAATGAGTCCCGCCTAACGAGGTCTTGTCAGATCAAGTGACTATCTCTATGCTTGTGAATGTTTATTAATATTTTTTAGTTTTGGTCAAGGGGAGATAACTTTTTGTCTCTCACTACCCCCCCTCCCCCGTTAATACTGGAAAGAGCAATAACATTGGACTTGCTTGAGAAACCTTTTTCTGAAAAATTGTTTTAAGAGAAAGATTTTATGAATTTCAACTGAGAGCAATACTTGCTGCTCGGTCAATGAATGCTGAATGTTTCCCTATAAGGAAACGGCTAATATTAACATTAACATAGTTAGGAACATGTCCATTGTCCACAGCCCTTTTTATGGTTTTAATTTTCAGGTGATGGCAACTCGGCCTACAATGCACGGATAGGAAATTTCAAAAGCATGTCAGCCAGGGTGTGTACAGATATATTTGTTTGATCAAAAATGGGTGTTATTTTGGGGGCTCAGAATGTAGGAATCATAGGGTGATAAAATAGTTGGAGAAGTAGTGTTCTAAAAAGAAATATGTGGTTGAAAGCAAGAGAAATGTCCCTGTTTTGAGACAGGAAATCTATATAGTATCTGGATGAAGACGGGTAAAAAATCCGTTCAACTACTAAACTAAAAACAATGAAAAATGAGTTTTTGGTAGGTGTTTGGGAAACGTTAGCCTGTTACAAAATGTTACAGTGAAAGAAATATGCTGCGTGTTTATTTTACCAAAAAGGGTTCCACTTTTCATTTTATTCGGTGTATATCAGTCAATCTCATATTTTTCAAACTTGTAAGCCATAATTTATGGCGTACTGACAAAAATGCTTTCAAGGCCAAACTGTAGAAGGGAGGTAATTTATGATTGCAATTTGTTTCAAAAGTCCAGACAAGGTGTTGTAAACAAAACAACTAAATCGTGTAATTTTAGCTTGGAACCACTTAGACAAATGAAGCAGTTAGGTTATATTTCGACGATATTTAAATCCTTAATGAGGCAAGGGTAAGTTATTGAGGTCAGCAAGTTCATTCTTTGTCTGTGCGTTTTCCTAACTGTGTTGGAAGTTTTACAAGATTTAAACGAAATGTGCACTTTTTTTTAAACGGATTGACTTCTTTCTATTGTAAAAGTTTGAATTAAACTTCAGAGGCAGTTAGCTGTTAGAATCTATTTTAAAAGAAATATCTCAGTCTTTTAACGTCTTATTGAGTATTTTTATACGCAACTACTGTCATGCTTTAGTTAAATTTTAGTTTTTACTTGGCTTTAAGTTTTTACTTAGACTTTGTCACTTTAGTTTAAAATTTTAAGATTAAGTGTGGATGTTGTTTCCATATCTTGATAAAAAAAAAAAAAAACCCAAAACACTGATATATTCCTAAGAAGTAGGTTTATTTTTGTTGACGGAGATATGTTATCTTTACTTGTGTATTATTACGTAAAAAAATTACGATTCAAATTGATAATCTTAAAACTCCTCTGTCATAAGTTTATATATTTTTTAAGGTAAATTTATTTCTTTAAAAGTCGTAACCATAAGTGTTATTAATTATTTTGAATAGAAATTTAAATTGAATGAAAATCGATACACAGACTCGACAAACATACACTCCACATCCTTCTTGACGAAAAAAAGGGTAAATATAAATTTCACTATGTAACTCGAATAATCACTTTTTTTAATCGAAATTTTGATGTCTGGTGATTTAAAAATCAATAACTAATCAAGATAAGTTTTAAACTCTAAACAGCACCAAAAAAAAAAAAAAAAAATAATATGCCTACAAATTTTACTTCTGTTATAGTTTAAAAAAAAGACACTTCGTCGTAAGACAATTGAATATAGCATGTATAGAGATGAGTACCAATGCGAGTTTGCTCCCCACTGAGTGCTTCAAAGAGCTAGCTAGAGACAAGGTATGCATACATATCGCTTTGCCATAGAACAGTAGTTAAAATAGTTTGCAGACCTACTGGTTTCGGTCTCCATTAGTGCTCCCCACTTGTAGCCTTGTGTCAGAAGAAGAGTAAGTCTTTTTAAATAATTATAAAAAGAAAGAACGTAGTGAGCTGATTTATCCGAACCGTATCGTTCAGTATTTTCCTTAAAGCTTTTACACAGAAAAAAAGATGCATTAATAATCTATCATGAATATTAAATTATAATTTAGAAGTCGAATTTAGCAGTTTCTGTGTAAATTTCTTTCTTTTTTTAAATAATTTTTCTTACATCGATTAATAATGCCTGAAAATGAAACTTCCTTTCTAAAGATGGGTCCAAAGTTACGTCCCTTTAATACAATAAACAGGTTTCTTGGCTATTCAATAATATAACATTGGCTACTCGCTAATTTGGATATCAATACTCACTAAGCTTAGCTTAGTATGGCATAGGGCTAAAAGTGTGGGACATCCCGTGAGGTTACAACTCACTAGATTAAAACTAGTTTAATAATGAATATGCTATTACATTTTTGCTAGCTTGGATCAATTACTTACTCATTTACTGACGAAGTAATTTTTCTCAATTAAAAATTGGGAAAAGAGAAATAAAAATGTTGACACAAAAGTAGATCTAATTAATGAGTCAGAAAGATTTTGTGGCTGACAGTTGAAAAAAATAATATAAATCTTATTTTTTAAATTTACAATGAATTTGCCTGTAGCTTAATCAAGAAGTTTTTTTTGGCTTGATGCTATTATTTTACAGTGGTAATTAATTCTGTATCTGCAAATAAAAACATAATGTAAAAAAATCATTATGAGAAACAGAATAACAAAATCAGTTCATATTGCAGAGAGAGGAGTTACGACTTGTTGCTGTTGAAGATGAGGACTTTCAAAATAAATTAATTCAACATTTTCAAAAGAAATGAATTCAACACGTACGTGGGTTTTTATATATATTTCTATAAAGAAAAATATAGCTCACAAAAGAAGAGAAATAGAAAATTATACTTATGTGTATACAGATGGTGAATAATTGTAATAATGACAAGTGAAAAAATAGGAAAAAATGGCATAAGTGAAAAACAGACTCTTTAAATAGCTTAAAATTAAACAACTACTGGTGTTTAATTTTAAGCTGATTAAAGAGTTTGTTTTTCACTTGTGCCATTTAAAGTTAAATTTCTAATCAGAGGACAGTTCTTGTTTGTTTGTTTATTTCTGGTACAGTTGTTGAGGAAATGTCAAGTACACACCATTGCTCTCAGTGGCTCTACCACAACCCCATTATAGAAGTCATATTTAGTTTTAAAGAAAAAGAGAAGATTTGCTTTCAAGTATGCATGTATATAAACAGATCAACTACTATCAGATGGAGATTTTTTTTCCTATTTTTCCACTTGTGCCATTTTTACTGGTGCCTTTATTACCTAAATTTGTATACAGATACCTAAAAAAAAAATAGAAGAAATATATTTATGGGATTAGTGGTAGTGTGTGCATGTGTGTGTGAATGTGTCACATGGTTTGGTGCAATCAAGTAGATAGTCTGACTGGGGAAAGAAATCTAACCCAATGGTGACAAGTCCTTTATTATCACTACTATATCCTGTAGCAAAAAGAGAGAAAGAGGGTTTATGTCCCTTCCTTTTATAACACTGCTTAGTAGTGTTAAGCAAAGTCCATTATGGTCTAAGTGTCTAAGGTGGAATAATCTCCTATTATTCTGACTCTTATTAAAATATTACAATATTTCCTAATTGAGCCTGAGCTTTTCTTCAACAAGTTTTTATCTTGTGCAACTGGTACTGTACAAAAGTTACTCTAAACACTGAGAATAAATACCTCATGAAATAACTCTTAAAAAAGCTTTCACTTTTCTGGCATCAGCTGAGGTAATTTGAAATTAATATTAGCTCAAGCCCCAGGATGCTATTGCCCCAGGCAGTACCTCTTTTTTTTACCTGGTGTCTGAGGTACCCTCTAAAGGGGAAGAGCTGAAAAGGGGCTTGGGTAATTTTTGAACAGCTTTCTGAAATCCCACATTAGACCCTGACTTTGTGTTACGTTCTCTTATGATGTGGGCATGTGGATAAATACCTACTTTCACTTTCAAGGAATGTATTTTCATGGCTTTTATTTTCTGTGTTAGAGATCACAATCACAATCATGACTCCTGTAACCCATAAGAATCATAGGGGTACCATGTACTGCAGCCATAGCAGCAGTGGTGTGTTTTGGGCAAGATAGACTGATAGAGCCCAACTCTCTCCAGGCTGGTTTGGATACACAGTTTTCATCTCTTAGAGTGGTTGCCATTCAAGGCTTTAGGGCCAAGTCTGTCTTGTAATTTACCTATAGCTCTAAGAAGAAGAGATGGATTCATACCTTTTCCAAGAGTATTTGCATGTAATGAACTTGGATTCAGTTCTCTGATTTCTCATCTTACAAGCTGCTATCCATTACACCACCACACATTGGGTTAGAAATGGTTTTCTTAAATAATTTAACAAAAGAATCTCTTTAATCCTAGATGTCATACACAGTTGTTTTAATTAAACCATTTTGTTGGGAATTTTCTGTATTTTAAATGTTAAACAGTGTTAACTGCAACTTAAATGTTAATTTGTAATAATTTTGCAGTGGATGCTTCAGAAGAACAATGTCAAGCAAAGATAAATCAGATCACCTTGAGAGAACGGCTGAGCAGCAACGGGATAATGTAAGTGCTTTACAGTGGCTGGCTTTTTTAGATAAATTTTATATAGCAATATGAAGGAATAATAAATATTATATATTATATTATATATATTAGTAATGTGAAGGAATTTTGTTTTTTGATTATTTCTTTTTTTCCAATTTAAAAAAAAAAAAGGATTACGCATTTCACATTGGTTATAAGGTTGACATGGTAAGATTTTTTGATGCGATAAACATAAGTTTGAGGAAGACATTTACTCAGTTTTTTTCATCTTCTCATCACTTCATGATCACAATCATGAGTCCTGTAACTTATTAAGTTCGGAGCATTGCCAAATATACTGCAGCCATAACAGCAGTCTTAGGTGAATGTGGGGATATTTTGCTTTCCATTTCTTTGTGAATGTTATTGGATTATCAACCGCCCACAACCCCCAATGATAATTACAGGCAGCACAAGATTTGAAAGAATCAATCGCTTTCTTGTGACTTTCCATAATGAAAAGACATATTCTTTTCATAATGAAGACATATTCTTTTCATAATGAAAAGACATATTCTTTTCACTCCAGCAAAATGTAGTAGTCATCTACAGACACTGAAGGTTGCATTGAACTTTTCCCCATTTCATTTCTCATTTTTCCTTTTGTAAAATGTCCTAACAATTTATTTGTTCATATTTCCTTGTTCATTTGCTATATTTTATTTTTCCCTTTGAATTTACACAAGTTCACCAAAAATTGTTTGTGGGTCAATTGTAGCAGGAGCTTATAAAATATCATCAAACGTGTTGAAGCCCGCAACAATGTACAATGGGACCTTTCTTGGTTTTTGTGCACACTGATGTGAGTGAAAATTGAGAGACAATGTGGGGTGATTCGTCTGATTGGTGAAGGTTGAAAGAGAGCCCCATTGTATAATTACACTTTGAGGCTATTTTTTTTTTAATCATTTTGTTGCATAGCCCTCTCATGCTGAGAGGTCCTGGTCAATGGCACCAATTCAATAAAATATTGCATCTTCTCTCTTGGACGGTGATCGCTAGATATTTTGGGTCGAGAGATAAAAGACTCTAACACAGAATTTTAACTTAACTATTTTTTTAATGCTGACATGTAATCCAGTGGGGGTCATCCCCCCTCACTTGGGAGCCATTTCAGACATGAAAGAAAACATATCTACATTGCTTGACAGTTAAGACTCGACTCCCTGAAAAACCTTTCTTTATCTGTCATTCCCACACTAGCTCAGCCAATCAAAATCAACTCCCTTATTATGTCTTACATCTGACCCTGAAGGTCAACCTATCGATGTGGGAACTGAAATACAGTTCCCCCTAAAAATAATAGTCTGCTAAACTATTATTTAGCAATTTCACCCCAAGCAAGGCAATAAAGCCAGTAGGATGTAAGGGGTTACAGAGAGTGAAAGAAACAGAGAGAACAATAGAAGAATGGGAGTTAAGAATACAGAAGATAACGATTGTTATTGAATTTCAATTTTTGAAGATTGTAGTTGATAGGAAAGCAGAAAGCTGGAAGAGAGTTCCACAAGTGAGAAGTGTGAGAGAAGAAACTATATCTTGGCTTCAGTCACTTTCTCACCACTGTAATGTTACCTTTTCTATAAATACTTTCATGGTAATTGTTCGAATGAACTCTTCGCTGTGGTACTGAGACTTTGTGAATTTAAGTATAGTATTAGATTGGCATCTAGATCTCATCGATTCACAGTTGAATTGGCTAGACGTAACTAAGTTCTATGCTAGCATTTTCTTTTCTCACACTTCTTCCTTGTGGAATTCTCTGCATTTGAATTTTTGAAGATCAAAGATGGATGGAAAGCACAGAGCTGGAAGAGAATTCAATCATTATCTATTGTCCTCTTCATTACTCTTCTATTGTTCTCGCTCCATAATAATGTTTCTCTTTTTTTCTTATTTTTTCACACTCAATGTGTGTCTAAGTGGCTTTATTGCCTTGCATGGGGTGATATGATTAAAAAAATATATTGCATATGTGCGCATCATAATATGACAGAAAAAAATAAACAAGCAAGCCAGGATATTTGAAATTGTTCAGTTATTCAAGAATCGATAATCATTCTTGTAATTCTGAAAAAATAAGTTTGAATAGAAGAAGTGATGTAATGGAATAACCTGTCACCTCCATGAATGACTACACTATAGGTAGTAACTACCTATAAGTATCTGTAAGTCAATGGACTACAGAGCCTAGCTGAAATCTTTCCAGCTGTACTGTCAAACTCTCTGCCTTCGGGCAGAGAGGAACCCGGACGAGGCTATGCCAAAGGGCAGAGTCTTGTTTGGGGAGGTAGATAGACCCGATCCCATTTATGCGGGGTCTATGAGGATTTTTTGGCTGAGCCTATGGGCGTGGGAACCCCACATTAAATCCGGCCTTGTGCCACATGTGACTGTGTGGGGCAGTTGCTAGATACTCTAGCTAGAATCTTTTCCAGCTGTGCTGGTTGAACACTCTGCTTCCGGGCAGAGAGGATCCCCAGACAAGACTATGTTGAAGGGCAGAGTCTCGTCTTGGGAAACAGCTACCCAATCTCATTTTATACGGTGTCTATGGGGAATTTTTGGCTGAGCCTAACAAATTCGGCTACCCCATGTTAAACTTGGCCCTGTGCCACATCCTACCTCATGAGGAGGCTGTTAAATAGCATCTAGCTGGAATCTGTTATTCAGCTCTCAGCTGTTGTCAAACTCTCTGCCTTTGGGCAGAGAGGAACCCAAATGAGGCTATGCTGAAGGGCAGAGTCTGGGGAGGTAGACAGAGCCGAACCCATTTATGTGAGTTTACAGGGAATTTTTGGCTGAGCCTATGGGCTCAGATTGCTCTACATTAACCTTGGCCTTGTGCCACGTCCTACCTCATTTATCATATTGTCTAGCTGGAATCTGTTGAGTACGACTCAGACTTACACAAGAACTACCAACCTTCCAATAGTATCACTCACTACTGGATTGACTTGCGATGACCTTGTGCATAACTGTTACCTTTATTCTTATTGTACTGGTTTTGTACAATAAATCTCTACTTATTTTATCCACCTTGATTTTCAAGTATATATTCCTATTAGCACGGAATATAACAAGAAGGTAAGTCAGAAAAAGAAAGACAAAAAAAAGATTAAAGAAAACAATAAGAGTGAACAATACAAATAACTTAATTTCCA